GTCTTGCATAGAAGCAGATTGTTTAATGTCAGCATTAACATTTTATAACATAGATCACTCGAAAGTCAAAATTTGCCCAGGAACCATGTCCACGTATGTGTATTAAGCCAACATCCACTATGTATTGCAAAGTGTGAACAATATGGAGATTAAAGGCAGAATTTTGTGTTCAAAGTACTTTTTCCTTGTTTCTTTAATAACATTACCGACATCAACTGGAGAACCATTGAAAACCTGGGAGTACATGAACCGTCAGCGATGGCACTGGATGAAGATCACACTATATCACTAACTGATATAAGTAGGGAGATGTGGACAACTGGATTCTAAATCAGTGGTTCAGTGAAAAGGTGTTAGTTACGAAACCTGAAGGTACTGGGTTTGATCCCTAGTGGGTTCACGGGTGAGTGCGGCTGAGGTGTGCTATACTAAGGTGAAACAGCCGACCAATGCTTGAAGATTTTTGGTGATTCCCCACCCGATATCTGCCCATGATGAATACCAACTTGAAATCAATACATCACTGATCTGAAGACTCGATTTCTTTTTTTTGTGCCGTGTATTATTAATTCATAAATAATGACATTTTTCAAACTGTGTTCAAATTAATTATCTGAATATAACTGTACATTTGAGAATTATACTGCCGCAGATAAATTTGTTTGCTGAAGTCTGTCCTTTACGACGCCATGAAAAAAATTGTATTTCTTAGGTCTTTTCAGATCAACTTTTGAGGCATCTTACTCGAAGTCATTAAATATTGATAAAAACAGTATCCTTACCAACAGTTAATTACTTCATTTTCTGTTCCGACCATAATCAGCTTTTCCTCAACTAAATCCAAATTCAGGTAATAGGAAAATAGACCTTATATGTAGTTTTATCGGGTTGGTTATCAATACGGAATGTATATCATTCTGATTTGGAGTCATTAGGAAAATTATTCAAGGTAATAAAAATGTAAATTAAACAAAACGACTTCATTTCTTCTAGATGTTTTTGTAAGAAGGTTGTTTGGAACATTTAATCCTGGGTTACTTGTTATCTCTTTTGCATGAAACGTAGAAGGCAGCTGGTATGCCAATAATAGTTATTAGTCTTCATGATTTTTTTGTTCTACGTTATACATACACCATACATATACCTTGAAGAGGGTTAACTTAAATCTGTTTAACTTACTTGATGAAATACGCTTCTTTTTAAATAATCTTTATTACTGGTGAAGTACAGAAACTTTAATGATATTTAAAAACAAATTCTTCATAGGTAATAATGTCATAAAATATCTTAAATAAAAGTAAACTGGATTATGCTTTCTTTAACCAGAAACTTTCAAGACGTTTTTGAATCTATGGAATGTCAAAAACGTTTTTAAAGAATTGCACTTTTCACCAGCTGATTTTGTTTTTGTACCTACAAAATGACTACTAACTTACATTTAATATCCTGGACAAGTTGTTTTAAACAGTTGTGAAGATGAACATGGTCATGTTTTTCCGTAGAAACCACCACAAACTGAGTGAAATTGAAGGCCGTCTTAACGACTGATGAGACAGTCGATTTCGGTTCTGTATTTTACGAAAAGCAACCTTCCCAGACAAAATACCGAAACCTAACTGGCCATTTTGAGCAGTGGCTAGGGTGTAGAAAAAGCAGAATGTGCATTGCATAAACTATGGAAAAAGTATCAACTCAGATCACTTTGGTCTGGTTTGTAAGCACTACAAAGTAGAATCATTAGCTTTCAGCTGTTCATTTCTGTCACTGCATGCAGTCAAAACAAGCTTGTATAAACCTTACAATTAACTAAGTTTTTCCAAAACTAAGTGCATAAATTACTTCCAAAATGACTTTCATTCTCTTGTTTGTTGCTCTTTTTTGCTTCATTAGTTATGAATTTTATGCTAGGTACTTTACCTGACGGAATGCTTAGCCACAGTAATTAGTTAAAGCAAATGGAATACCTCTTACAGTCTTAGACAGTGAATCATAACCATAAATGTTTGGTAAATAATAATCGTTTTAGCTAGTTGCATTGTACAACTTCTTTACCAAACTCATCACAAACAGACAATAAAAACTGTTATTCTTTCCATAACATTATATGAATGTTAATCAAGTGTTAAGTGTAAATAGTTTTCATTGAATTCCAATCATTTTTCCTCCTTTCACAGGAAAACATCTGAAAACATTCAGTAGAAATACGTAAGAAATAAATATGGAAGAGTAATGTCCATAAAAATAACGGTCACTTGGTAATTAGGTGGAAAAAGTGGAAGCTTATGAAAATTTATGCAAACTACTAAATCACAAAAGACATACACGTTAGACAAGCTAACTGTTAGTGATGATTGAAACCCTCAGAAACTCGGTGGCATTTTATAGTTTACTTGGTGACTACTGGTGGAATCCAGGATATGCGTTTAATCCTATCAGGAAGTCATAAGATGGATGCACGTGTACCCTAGTCACTGATGTTGTTTCCATTGAGACTTGAGCCCAGTACCTATCTCGTTAGACGCAAAAGCGTCATTCACTAGGTAAATAAGGGCACAACAGCAATGTCTCGCGCAACAAGTGTCAATTGTTGCTTCTCGATATCTATGATTTCTTGCTGAAACATTGAGTAGAATTGTTCGACCTATATTGGCAGATTAGTCGATAGTGTAGTAGCGGAAAATTACGAATATCGATAAACAATGACTGACACCCATTGCATAAGATGTGGCTCTCACACCTCAGTGGCCTGACGGAAAACAATATGGCGTTTGAAGCAATGGGTTTGATTCTAAGCGGGAACGCCATCACTCAGTGGGATGCAGGAACATCGAGCTGACGAGTCCCAAGTAGGATGGAATCTGAATCCCGGGTTTTACTGCTGGTCACCAAGATGACCACAACATTATGAAGATATAGGCAGTGTCCAGGCGTCAATACAGAAGCCTATCTGCTAACAGAGGTCGATCAATTCGACCCGGTGTGGCAACGGGTGATTACAAGGATCGATAGACAAACTCAGTTTCATTTTTAGTATCATAAAAAATCCCTTGAGAATTTAATACAGTTGTTTGCATCGGTTTTTAATTCATGGTTTAACAGTGAACATATGCATCATTTTGGTGTTTACTGTTATACTTTCATATTGACTAAGTCAATTCTATTAATACAAAAATAGTATAATTTTGCAAGTCTGAGTGTATTAAGTACATTCGAACCAACTTACAAAACGTACGCACTGAACTCCATTACTGTTGTCTAAGTAAAGTGGCTACTTCGCAATCGGAAAATGAGCGTACTCAACTGCAACCTTAGATGAAAAGTAAAACCAAGTTCACCATGTATTGATGATCAACACGAGATAGCCAACTCTCAGTTAAGCTGCTTGTTTCCTTTAGCTATTAAAAAGAATACCAACCTGAAATCAATAAATCAATGTCCATAAACCTCAAAAATGAAATAACTTAGTGCTCATTGGTAACTAAAATCTAGAGGTAATTCCCGAAGTTCTAATGAGAAGTTGTAACCGGTGGGACCAACAAGTGAAACATGAGGACCGTTACTCAACGACGGCAGCTAAAGGAAGTAGAGGTATATTATGCGCTGACATAAGTAGAAAATGTAGACTACCGGATGCAAACCCAGTGGCTTCGTGATGAAGTGCTGGCCACGGAATCTGAAGGTTCTGGGTTAGATCCCCAGTAGGGTCATGGGTGCAAACTGTCGAGGAGTCTCATGCCGGGACAAAACAGCTGTGCAGTACTCCCAGGTTTTCACTGTTTCTCCAACTGATGTCAGTCCATCATGAGTGCCAACTTGAAATTCACAAACCTCAAAACTGATAAAAAATCCTGTTTAAATGTTTGAAAATGCATAATGAAATATGTACTGCTGCTTCTCCGGTGTATCGTCTCGTTTACTGTAATATCGAAATACGATTCTATCCAGAAATAAAATAAAATAGATTTCCTTCTAAACACCACTTGTATAGATGTAAAACTTGGGCACTGTGATAGAATTTAATCCCATATTAGATTTGTTTATTTGATTTATAACACACAGTGAATTAGTATTATTTACTTGATAGTACTAGATCACCGTGTGTTATAAATCAAATATACAAACCTAATATGGAACTACTTCACTTGAATGTTACGGGTAGCTTATTTATATTAAAAACACAGTCAACATCAGTATGATGTTTGAACTTAGTTGTTGTACATGTATTAAAGCATTTTAAGATTTATGCATATGTCCATCCTCGATGCAAACTGTACGGACAAGTATTGAGTTGTTACAGCGTATTTCTGAGATAGACATTTGTACCAAATGAAGCTCAGTAGTGAAGTTTACAATCAGTGTAAGCATAGTATCTTAACCTAGTACCTATACTTTTCAGTTTTCTTGCAGTGACTTATTTTTATGCATTGAACCACGCAAAGACAATCATATGTGGTACAGTGTAGTATCATGATATGTTTAACTAAAAATGTCTGATTCCTTGTGGGTATGCACTCTTGAGGAATCCTATACTAAAATGAAACAGCTATTCAGTGCTCCAAGGTTTCCAATGTTTTTCCAACTGATCTCAGTCCATGATAAATACCAACCTGAAACTAAAAACGCATTAGTAAGCTGGAGGATTTCTGATTTTACTAATATATACAAAATATCATCTTTACCCGGTGTAAATTTAATATATGCAGGTGTCAAAACCAAAACTAAAAGAGATAAACTTAGTTCTCATCTAAGTTGAAAGTCAGTGTTAGAAATATTTCAGTAGAAACTTTAAAGAAACCCAACAATTTGTTAAGCAATAAATTAGATGATTTCACAATGTAGCATGCAGCTTATTGGTAGGAATATAAACTTATTTCACTCTATAGAAACAAGTTAGCTTCAAAAGTTACAGTAAAATGCTAATAATAGTCTTGATTGTGCAGTGATTCAGTATTCAAAAATGTAAATAAAAATATATGAAAATAGTTTTTACTGAATAAACGCCTACTAAAAAGTTCGAATCGACAAAAAATAAACAAAAACAACAACAAGGTAATTCACTACTAGGTATGTAATTTACACCATCTGCAATTTTATTCTTTTTATGGCTAGATTTTCTGATGTTATTTCCACCTGAATAAATGTATGTGATGTTAAAAAGTGGTGAATAAAAACAAATTCTCCTTTATGGTGTATACTTGATGTAACCTGTATGGTACAATCTTCCAATCCAACCTTTCTATAACATCCAATCAATCTATATTTATTCAATAATGTGATAAATTATAACGGTAAAGGAGAAAATAAATAAAAAAATTTATTTAGTAATAAGATAGGATTTTCATTTGTGCAGAAATGATAAAAGAAAATACAAAGGTACAAAACCAGTGAGATTTCCATTTGAACAGTAATCAAAAAAATACGAATGCGTGTTGAACTTTTTGAGGGAAAAGTGTGCAAAGTAACCTGAAAATAGGGTTTCATTACCAGTTTATGCATATGAACGAACATTGACAATGTCTATCTAACCTTTTTTCGGCATTTGTAATGAAGACTGATTACAACAAAGTTAGTAGCTAGCTAAATGGAAACACAGACTACATTTTATTTAAATTTTGAGGGAGTTGTGGAGATTTGGAATTATTTCAAGTTGTTATCGTAGACTGACATCAGTTGGAGGAACTAGGACGAAACAGCTGTCCAGTGCTCCCAGGTTTCCTTTGTTCCTCCAACTGATGTCAGTCTACGATAACAACTTGAGATACATTTTATTTTTTTAATTCATTTGAACTTGTTTCAGATAATGAATTTACCTTGAAACCTTGACGATAAGAATAAAGAGCATGAGAGGTTATTTTAACAATGGTGCCTTTAGAGCATTAGTTGCATGCAGTGAATCAGTAGAAGGGATAATACTAAAAGATGAAACTAATGCATTCACTCAAATATTCTTTATTTCAGCTTTCAGATAAAATGCAAATTTCATATTAGATATTCTGAAAGGCCATAAAAATTATTGCAGGAAATTTTGGGGTGGTAAACTATAGTTTAAATTGTTGGTAGTGATACAGATACATAAATTTTTGTTCTTCTTGAAATATTGATCACTATCTTCATAATTTAGTTTGGTATGCTATTTTGGAAGTGTCATATATATCGTGTAATATCTAACTGAAGAATAGAAACTACAAACAATTTATAACATTGCTCGGTGGAAAACGTTTAGGTCTTACAGTCAATCAATATTATTATCAGAACATAAAAACAGTACAACAGTCACCAAGAAATGTACCAACAAAATAATAATATAACACTATTTTAAAGAAATAAAGCAAAGGGAAGTGGATAAAAAAACACAATGAGAATAGAATAATTAGAAGGGCAGTTCAGTAGGATGCATTCAAACCAAAGCATTTATTAATTTTCAGTAGCAGAAAATAGAAGGAAGCTACAGCATGACCGCCACTGGTTTCGATTCCGAGCCAGTTCTGATAATGTTCTAAACCACTGAGTTGTGTGATCTCTCGTATCCCACCCAGAGAGTCATGTCGCACCAAGAGATGCTAACTCGATACAACTACCCTTCATCCCATGGCACCAACTCATACACTGAATACACCTTCACTTCTTCTATTCAGTTCCAGTCCCATCACTAGCAAACAGTGAGCGGTTTGGAAGCCATTGGGACGACATGCGTAACACATGTTCAAGCCACCGAAGCCGGTGTTTCTAAATGACCTCACTTATTGAATGACGATTTCTGTCATGCCTGAACACACGCTGTCGTAGCTCAGAATTAACTGCACAGTGTTGACATCAGATATGAGCAATCCCATGGAGACAATGATGATCAAACACACAGTCATCGAACATCCCCAGCTTGGATGGTCCAGGTTTCACAGAAGTAGAGCAGAACTGCTTGTGACGAATTGTTTTAAATTCAACCTTTCACAATCAGACTAATGTTGCGACGGTGACAAAGGTGGTCCAAATTGGTGTATGCCACTCTGGATTTTGGTAAACGGTTAGAAGTTTCATCCCGTACACCTCCACCAGGACTTACATAACCACTCAGATACACGAAATTTTCGACTACTTCCAATCACTCACCACTGAGCTGTTTGGTTGTTCATAAGTTTTGCGCAGATAGTTTCATAAATCCATCAACAGACAAACAGACAGTAAAATAATGCATTACACAAACAGTGTGTATGATTTTTTATGTTACAAAAGACTCAATAAAACGTATGCATTATAATCAAGGTAGAAAGCACAGGAAATATATCCGATGAACTCTAAACGTATTTGGCTTTAACTCAGATAATCTTTGAGTAGATGTACGCTTTATATATCATAAAACAAGAAATAGAACAACAAATTTATAAATAGTCAGGAAGTATGTTAGTTTAAGGGGAGTAATATCATTTGATGTCTTCTGAGAATTTTTTGTCAAATATTCTAAAGTGAAAGTGCCTCGCCGACTAAATATTCACCTGCTGGTATCTACATCATTTGTACCTTTCTGGGATTAAGTTTTAGGACCTTCGTAGATAGGTAATCAACCTATGTAGCGAATCAAGTGAAAACACAATGACCTGATGAGGTAAGGAATTGCAAAACATTCTTATTGAGATAAAACCTACCTCCTTCTTCAAAGCACCACATATTTTGCTAGAGAAGTGGCATGCATTACTTTCGAAATAATAGTTGCTAACTGTATTGTTGAGAAATAGCAATTAGCTCCTAAGTAGACATGAATCTGTTAAGATTACCGTCATATTTTTTAAAATGCACTTATTACGTATATTTACTGAAATGGTTCTTCATATCTAGAGTTTGAAGCGAATTGAGTAGATGAGTATAAGGTAAACGTTTGTTTGGTACTAAGCAACATTACAGTGAGACATCAAGTGAAGGAGTGATTACAAAACTTCGAATAAAGTTGCAAAACTTCAGGCTGTAAGTTTGGGGTCGATATATCATGAGTGTATCCAGAGAGATTTACCTCGTAAAATCCAACTGTATGGAAACCCGTTATCTTGTCATCTGAATTGAATATGAAGGCGTTAGGAATTAATGGTTGAACAGATGGTTAATTATTTGAAGATTGAAGATTATCTAGGCTATTCCAAGTGCCGTAGGATTTTGTAATCCACGCAAACACCGTTTTGCATTGCATGTCACCTGTTTGTTAGCAAAAGAGTATCATTCACTATCAATGTAAATCATATGTTGATTGGCGGTATTTTCTTTCCATGCACGTTATTTTATTTTAGCTCTGGTATTTTATCTGTCATAGTGATTTTGATTAGCTGTTTATCCAAGAAAACTAAAATTTCTAAGACGCATAGAAAATATTTCAAAGTAACCTACCAGGTGCTCATATGTTTATCCCACATTTGAACAGATGAATAACTAGCATAAATGCATTGTAAAATATCATAAATCAATCTTGTTTTGAAAGTGAACAAATATTTCACATAACGATTTCAAAAATTATTTCTAACAAACTGGCTCACCTGAAAATTCCAAGGAACCTTCGATAGTCTCTTCAGTTGGTTTTTTGCCTTTTGATTTTGTTTTAAAGCCAAGTGACAAGCAGCTGCACCATAAATAGGTGCAACACTATCCGGCTGAACAAATATAAATGAAACATTTTTTAAGACAGTGATCACATTAATCTTAAACTTTTGTAAAAACAGTAAAAATTGCTAGTAATAATCGGTGACTAAACTATGATGTTTCAACAATGACATAATATTTTACAAGCTATTCTGGTACTTTTAAGAATCCAACGGAATACAATTTCAGAGTAGAATGAAAACCCTTTTCCAATTTATTGATAAGGCTGTTATTTATTTTTATTCATCGTAAGATACCTAGTCAAAATTTGCAGACTAAGTGGATTGAAAATTAAAGTTGTGAAATAGTTCAAGAACTAAACCTTGCGTAATTATTATTTTGATCGGCAGGTAGCTCTAGACCCAGATTTCCCGTTTTTGCGCTTTCTGACACCCCTCGGCCAGAGATATGTGGACTCATGGGGAAACCGTCGTCACTTTGCCCATTCAAATAACAGATTTTATAACTAAGCTGTTTGGATCGGGATAGTGCAAACTTCTAACAATTATCGGTCAAAAATTCTAAACTATAAAAGATGCTAAACATGTGTTGATTAATACACAGGAGTAATGAATGATAAGTGATTGTTCTCGGTGCAAGCAAGGTTTCTAACACTAGTAAAATAACCTTTGTTTAATAATCCAAATAACGATGAGGGCTTCTACTACCAGAAACTTGAATCTAGCAAAGCATATTACGCAGACTATTGTTTACAACATCTAGTCTTCGGAATATCTAAGAAGTTATTCAAGTTTAGGTTCATAGTTATATATGTTAGGCTACTCCTAATTCAGTATAGGTACATTATATGAATCTAACCTATAATATGACGAAATCAAGACAAACGGTACTTTATTATAAAATCAATGAGAAACAGGGCAGTGGAAACAATATTTGCTGATTCAATATGTTTCATGTCATTTGAAAAGAAGCACAGGACAGCTCAGTGGCCATCTTTTTTTAACCTGATAGATAGAATTCTATTGGTACTTGTGACTTGAATTTTCATTGTTACCGTACAATGTTCAATTAAAACAATGAAGAGTATTGAAATATTCTTTAAAACACAAATGGCTGTATAGAATAGTTTTTCAAGGTTCTAAGACACATCTCGCTACTTGTTAGCAAGATGTTGTGGGTTGACCCTCAGTTCTGTTTATCTACGAAACCTAACATTCAACTGAGTTCAGAATTATCGCTTCCGATAAACACGGTGAAACTAGAATTATGTAAGTTGTTTGTTAGTATCAAATTAATACGTCCAGTGTATAGGCTGTATTCCAAGATAGTTAATTGTAAAATTAAAACAGTTGTCATTAAACATGAGATAAAGTGATAATTTCTCACTTCATGCTTTTTTTCAGTAACCAGTCACAGTGTAGACGTGTTCTAAAGGTTGATTTAAAAGTTAGTTTTTGTGAATACCTGATAAAAACCACAAGTTTCATTTTATTTTCTTTCTAATTAACTTGATAAATCTGTTCAGTATCATAAACAAGAAGTGAGTTATCTTTCCGTGGCTTCTAGGATGGCGATACTGATGAGTCAAATTCAGGTTTGCAACATATATAACGTTCTTCTTACGAATAAATAAATTAGTTGTTTGTTTTTATTGTACATGCATAAGGATAAGACAAAATCAATGTAGAGCCGTGAACGGAAGTGCATTGTATCAAGCTGCCACACCTCACAGCAGTATACAAGAAAGGGTGGATAGAAAGCGACTGATACCAAAGAAAGACTAAGTTGTGTGTCAGAATAAACAATTTGAAGATAAACGTTAGTACAAATAAACAAGCTTTAGAAGACGCCATTGTGATCGATTTTCATAAGGAATCTTGATGTTTGTTTGTTTTGTGTTGAGAAATGGAACACCAAGAGAGCAGTTTTCAAACTTTAATTTCAGACAGTACACTTACAATCTGATTAGCTTTTCGTGTGATAAAAAAGCACTGGAAATGGAGTAACCATCAGCATTTCAAAAACAAATAAGAGCATTCATAACGTCGTTTCCTTTTTATAGCATATTTGATGTTGATAAGTGAATAAGTCACCGGCTTTATTACATGCCGGCGATAGCCTCTTTCACTTATCTAGGCAGCACCATTTCAACTACAGGCGGCACAGACGAAAACGTCAAAGTCAGGATCGGAAAAGCAAGACAGGCATTCATTAAACTGAAACCAGTGTGGAGATCTTCTACACTCAGCATAAAGCGTGAACAAGATCCGGATTTTCAACACCAACGTCAGGTCAGTGGCACGTCAGAGACTTGGCACGTCACGTAAAGTATTTCCAACAAAGTGCAGACATTCATCAACAACTGCCTACGCTTGTTACTGAAGCTCAGATGGCCAGAATAATAAGAATAAGTAACAAGGAACTCTGGGAACGAACCAACCAAGAAACTATCGTTCAACAAATATGAAGGAAAAAGTGGAGATGGATTGGGCATACACTGAGAAGACCATTCGGGGACTTCACGCATCAGACCAGGCCCTCGAGTGGAACCCAGATGAGAGACGGCCAGCTGGGCGTCTGAACGAGGGTGACATGGAGGAGATCGTGAGAGGAAGAAATGAGAGCTTCTGGGCTGTCATAGAGCCAGACTGAAAAGACTGCAAAGAAGAGAGTGCACTGGAGACGTACTACTGAAGCCCTATGTTCCACCAGGAACCCAATGGACAAATAGTGAAATAATAATAATTTATCACATACCACTGAGTACATTTAGTATCTTAGCACAAAGGCTGCATCTTGGAACCATGTGGTAACACTTTGTGTTTTACATAATAAATAGACAGATGCGATTTCAGGAATCGTGACTTATCATAGAGACAATCTACTTAGTAATGAGTGACCTTTTGTATGTAGCAGTCCATAAAATTCCAATGAAAGCTTCAACCAGCTACGTAATGTTACAGTCAAACAAAGTGTTGGTCTAGTCCAAAACTCAGTGCTTGAATTATTTACACTGTACTGGTTAACTTATTAAATTTTTGGCTTGGTAACAGCAGGAGTGAAAATGTTTACCAAGCAGTGGGAATAATTTTATCATAAGAATAAGTTTTAATATGATCCCGGAGTGTTTAGGAAATCAAAACAAGATGTTTTAATTACGCTAGGATCATGTTAAAATCTATTTTTATTACGTAGTCAGATTTGGTGCTCGAATTACTCCAGAACATTCGTAACAACTATGATCTAGATATTTATAATTATAAACAAATTAATTCATACTTTACCAATAATTTATTAATTTCAATGATATCCCCCTATTCTGATGTTGCCTCATTAGATGAACAATTTGAGTTGGTGCATACATGACAGGTTTATCTCTTATTTAAAGCGTAAGTCCGTTAGATAAAGCGAAAATATTGTTTTGGGCTTCTGAAGAATTTTTGGGTTTTCATCGGATGTAAATTACAAAAATAGGCAGTAATGTTATTCAAATAAAATCTGAAATGAGAGATATTACACAGTCAATAAAAACCCAGAAGTTAGCAAAAATATATTAGAAAACGAACTTTCTAATTTAATACGCTATAACTTTCAATTTCTTACATCTTCTTGTGACATCTGAGCAAATGTTTCCAGGGCGGATTCCAGCTTCGTTTTTGACTTTGTAACCAACAATAAGAGAGTTGAGATAAAACGGAAACGCTTTTTTGTTTAACAACTTTCAATTCCTGTTGATAAACAAATTACAAATTGAAGATGAAGATAATTATTGCAGAAATAACAACACAGATTAGATTGACAGTAACATACATCTATCTTAAATGAGTAAAATGCGAAGAAAAATTTTCGTATCGGAAAACCTAAATATATTTCAATAAATATAAGACTGTTTGACAATAACTTCCAGTACAAGACACTACATTTGCAGTACTGAATGGCATTTACCATATATCTTAGTTGCTTTTTATCTAAATGTCATACAGGACTTGAGGTGGCAGTTCCCATCTAGGTAGCCTAACACCATCTTACACTTTACAAATATTCTTTGCTTTGATATTATTATTTTCAGTTTCTCGTTGTTGGTTGAACAGAACTGATTGGTCTTCATTAGCATTTGTGTTCCTTCGCAGATGCTTCGATATTGCCTGAAGTTTAAACCTGGTAGTAGTTTCTTGCTTTATTTAATTTAAAAAAAACTATTTTTCAGATATCCTTATTATTTATCACTGTGCTAAGTAATATGTGGTAATATGAAGTGATTCGCAGTTGTCTTTCTATCTACAAATACTTTTGACATTAGATATAGATTATATTTGTGTAAGTCACAGCTAGTTTGAAATCAAATAATTCCAACGTTTCGTATGGAAGTCTGGTTCAAGCTTCTTCAGGGAAGCAGTCAAAATTAACATATCAAGGTTATATAAATGAATCCAAAAATGTGTGGTTAATCTCCTTGTCCAATCTTCTTGGCATAGTCATTGTCTTTCTGAATTGCGATCACTAGTCATTCAGTGTGAAATTGTATTCGTTAAACGTGTTTTAAAAAATGAAACTAAGGATGTGCCGAAGCTTCCTCTGAACTGTCATACTCCCATATCGTAGGGAGACTTCAAAAGAAGTAAGAAGGATTCTCAACAAACAACATAAGAGTTTACTTCCGTGCAACAAATACCCTACGTTCTAACTTAATAAAAGTTAAAGATGCAATACATAAAGAAAATCAACAGAAATGCGTCTATGAAATCAAATGCGGAGGTTGCACTGCTGTATATGTAGGGGAAACAGCCAGGCAGGTAAATGTAAGAGTCAATGAGCCTAAACTATGCTTAAAGCAGACCCCAAAAACCTCGGCAGAGGTTAAGAAACTAGAAAACAAATCCGCGATGGCGCTACACTCCATAGAAATGGGACACAAAATTGACTTAGTCGGAACTAAAGTTCTACAAAATATTTTGGCTCATACCAAGAAAGACTGATAGCCGAAGCCCTACATAAATGGGCGAATCCAGACATTTTGAACGGACGAGATGGAGTACAGTTAGCTGCCTCTATGCAAATACTAATTAGTAAGCAGAAAGAGTGACTCGGAGCATTTACCGGCAACATCAGTTTCAACTTCATTATTTCTGCGTCAGCAACAACAACAGTCTGGATTGATTTAATTCACTATCGCTATCATCATTTTCGTCGTCATCATCATTATCATTACTCATCACTATTTTTCCGGTAAATCAACGGAAAAATTCGTTAATGCTATTTAACACCATATTCCAACTGAAATTGCATACATCTCCCCTTCATCCATTCCGTTGTACTCATAAAAATTACCGAATGACTATAATATCACCTGTGACCTTTTTGTCTATAATTTACAATCAAGACAAATATGAATTGTAGTATATATATATACAACCCCCAACAGGCCACACAACAAGAGACAATTTCACACTGAATGACTAGTGATCGCAATTCAGAAAGACAATGACTATGCCAAGAAGATTGGACAAGGAGATTAACCACACATTTTTGGATTCATTTATATAACCTTGATATGTTAATTTTGACTGCTTCCCTGAAGAAGCTTGAACCAGACTTCCATACGAAACGTTGGAATTATTTGATTTCAAACTAGCTGTGACTTACACAAATATAATCTATATCTAATGTCAACCTTTTACTCAGCGCCTAATATTTGCCATACTATACGATCAAATCTTGACCATAGTTTGTATGAAATGTATAAATACTTTTGTTAGGTAACCGCTTATGATGCAGTGAGTTTGATTTGCTTGTAATATATCTAGGAACAGTAAAAGCCTTTAGTTCTTCATAGTTTTCTTCAGTGAGAAGACGATAAATATGTACAAGTAGAGAACGATAAAATATATTAGAGTAACTTGATTTTTGAAGTATTAACAGTAATATCAGTTAGGCTACGAAAATAAGCGCTTACTATGATTGTCAAAGTTGTCAATAGTATTAAAAAGAAAGTTCAAATTGAATCTATTTAACTGTTAAAAAACTGCTATTTTCACGATCACTTCACAAATTACTCGATAAGAAATTTCGCTGAAATATCTTCAACATTTTTAAGTGAACTGTAAGTGAACACTCACCAACTGGATAACCATGTTATCCTAGTTTTTTATAAATATGTTACTCAGAATGACTCTGATCAACATTTTCCTTTTGATAGAATAATAGATCACAGAACTAAGTTTTACTATTTTCCAATGATATAACTGTCTTTCGGCTACGTTTTTCATATATAGCTTACAAAGGAGGAAAAGATCAACTTGCGACTTGTAAGGACCACCGCTTATCCATGATTATACTATTAAGTGTACTCATATTAAAGTAAGATGGGTAATACAGTTTAACTTTTATTCGATGCAAGGATGTCGATTTTAGTGAGTAGTCACTCGAAGATATTTTTGAGTGGTGACAGAAATTTATCATTATTGCTTACTTAGTGACTGAGAATTGCTTTACCAGATAATTACTAGTTATGAATATGCAAATTAGCTAGGACATTCAGACTGTAGCAGCTGTTTCACGAGCAGAATCTGCGGAAGTTTCTACAGTTTCCTTTACCTTCGATGTTTTCCGTTGGCTTACCTTACTTAAGTTAACAAAACATATGAAGGTATGAAATGTCTGACAACTATATCTTCTAACATTATCCGGAAATATTTTTTAGACGAATTGTTCAATATTACTTCAGTGTGGATAAGAAAAATATGCCAGAAAAAATTCATTAGATAACAACTACCGAATTGTACTTTTTTCAGCAAAATAATAGGTTTCACACACTTGTAAATATGACTTCCCTTTGCAGTTTCCCAATTGTTAGTAGGCAGAAAAAGGGAATTATTAATACAGACTTCTAGATGCACATGATTTTGATTTGTTTTATAGACTGTAAACACCCAAAACTTGTAGAGAAGAACCAAATAAGCATAACTGTAATCGTTTTGATTTAGAGTTTTGTTAAGATCTTATGAAATGTAAAGTGGAACTACAGTATTTTACTATCCTCAGAACTGAACCCCCAGTTTTACTTCCAGTCTACACAAACTTTACATAAAACGTTCTAACAACTTGTCAGAATACTTTTTTAAACTACTCACCATTGAGTAACGTATAAACTACTAGTAGTTCATTCTCAGACATTTTAGCAAAGAGCTACATGGATTTGGGCTGGTTTGAAACATACGCTTATTCTGCAGTTTGAGTTGATAGGAAAAGAACATATCTAAAGAACAGTATACTGACTAATATAAAGAGTTTACCCATCGCTGATATGAAAAACAGATCAATTATGCTTACTTTTAACAAGTGTTCAGCTGTTTCGTAACCAACACCACTGTTTCGCGTTGATTCATCGCCGTTATTTAAAGTGTTAGTTTTATATGAATTCGTATTGTTGTTGCCGTTTAACTGTGTAATTTGTTCAGTACTAGCCAGCTGACTGTCAGGATTAATACATATTTCCACCATTCGATATACTGCCTCTTCTGCATAAACTGGATCTTTTCGACAACGATTAAAATAATTTAAAGCTGTAGATGCCTCACCAGTGAATCTAAAAGCAAGTAGGAAAATTTATCCCTGATGAAATGAAACTTTTAAAATGATTACACGAACACAATGAATAGTCAGTACTGTTTATTGAATTTGAAATATCTTAAAATTATTTGTGAGTAACCGGGTTGGTAACTTCAGAGCAGTCTTTTTCTCATGGTTGCAATAAATTAAACAAAAACAACTACTTTAAATCATTTTTTGGTTACTCATTTCTGGATTGATTACTCACAACTAGGTAAGGAACAACTTGTATGAAACTTATACAAACAACTTTCATATAATGTAGCTCAGTATTATGCTGATAAGTGAGATCTGAACTCTGAAATATAAAAACCATTCCAGTGGTTTACATATATCCTACTAACAGTGCCATTAAGTATAGAACAGATTTATAAATTATTCACCATTTTGGAAGACTCAAACTTCTTATATTTCGTAATTGAAAAAAGTCGGAATGTAAGTGGACTATACTGAGAAGTGCTGTTAAGAATTCGAAATCACTGCTGATAACAGCAACATAATAGCATTACCATTAGCGAATGAACCATACCTAAAAAACTGCTCTTCATTTACTTCTCCATATGAAAGGTCTTTACGTGTTCTACAACAGTGCAATAGGAGAGGAATTACTGTTAGATACACAAACGAATTTCGGGAAGTTATTTAGTTCAGAATAAAAGGAGATTCATGTCCCAAATTCTTAGAATTTGACCAGCATTTGAATTTTGTCTTTTGACTCAAGGCATTTTAATTAATATCTTTTTCGCTTCAAAATGAACTATGTGGAAGCGGTTTATGCAAAAAACATACTTAACTTGAACTGAGGATTGAGCTACGCATATTTTTAAGACATGATAGCAACATACTGATGATCAGTGAACTAATTCCTAACATTGATTATTCACGTAGTGAATATGGTCTTTCGAACGGGAAGTTCTGTCTCGGAGTGTGAACATCTTTTCCATCGACTATGATACTTATTGTATGCCTGTCTATGTACTTTATTAATTTAATATATCATGGAGTATACTGAATGAGTTTCGAAGTTTTATAAAAAATTATCTTATTACAATAATTATTCAGCAAGTCGATTGTAGTTACCATCAGTAGCTAGCTGACTGACCAGAACAACATAAAACCTGGTAATTTATCCCATGTGATCTTGAACAAAACTGACAAAGAAAATCAGCGAAACGAAGGAAGATGATAGAAAGATTGTCGATAAAATAGGTTAATGAGACTGCAGAAAACAGAGTGAAACGGTGACATTTTACTGAAGCTCTATGTTTCACAAGGAACGCAAGGGACACAAATTAAATATATAAAACAGTGAGTAAAATTTAATTGCTTCAATACTTTCACCTAAGTCGTACAACGATGAGTCTCTCGTACACTCGCTGATCTTTAGATCTCATCAGCCAGATCATGTTGATGTAAATACCCGTTTAGTATCGAGCTTATCACCGTCTTATTCGGGCAAATTCAGGTTACTTAATTCTGGTTAGCTGACTTGCATGGACCCGTATACCTATGATAGAATGATCAGTTTTGCGAATGATTTAAAAGGTCTGGACCCATATAAGTCAACTCAAATAAGCTAAAAACATTTGGCATACCTGAATATTGTCCTTTGAAAACACTTCAGTTCCATTTGTTAGATGGTAGAAGAATCATATAAAATGATTTCATTTTTTAAAATTGGAAGATGTAATTTATAAGTGCAAACTAAACTTAGTAACCAAGACTGATAATATGCTGCGATCAGGTGACAGGGTTATTACCTTCTCGATTTAAAGTGATTCCCTCCTAGTATATAAGACCCAATGATGTCTCAGAAACCGGTTAGGAGTGAAACATTTAGTTATTCACAAACTTTATATAAATCTTACAGCATATATCGATTTTTTGTTGTCAGTTTTCAAATGGCTAATCATTAATAACAATGGTACCATCTACGTTTGATTTCAATCTAACTCTGTCGCTCCAATGAATTAACGATTCAAAAGAGAACTTTACTCGTGATTCAGTTCAAGGAAAGTACACATTTTCAGCAGAAAATTCTATACTGTGCTGTTACGTCAGGTTCAGGATGTAATCCAATCACAGAATCCTCTAATCAAGCAAAGTGCATCCATCTCACAACTTATTTATTTAAGAAGTTTGATTTTAAATTTGTCTAGGGAAGCAGTTCTTTGTGAAAGGAAGAACAATAATATCCATCACTCAAGATACAATGAATCAGAGAATGCTTCAACTAACCCTATATTTTTGGTTTCTAGGGTATCTATCCGGTCATTTTTTTGTTATGAATAGTCGATTCGTTGACGAGGAAGAACAGTGATGCTGCTAAGGTTGCATAACCACCGGTTACTTTGATTTAAAAACAAAGAACAGTAGTGTTACTGAAAATACGTCACACTGATGACTTCGAATGTGATATTTAGATGATCTCAAGGGAACTTAGATGAATAAAAATAGTTCAGATACTTTTTTCCGGTAATAACAATATGAAATGTTAGTTAAAACGCATGAAAAGGTAAACAAGGCACAGATTGACTGCATAATGATAAAAAATAAGTCGATTGGATGACTGTTTGTTACAGCGGGTGTTAAAAGGAACTTAAGGCCTAGGTGTATAAGATTTTGAGTACAAGTGGATTCAACAATCTAATGCATTAAACTTCATCAATGAAAAACGGTCATTATAACAAATATATGTTCACCGTGAAATACGTTTGAGCTACAAATTTATTTAGACCGTATCAATTTGCTTTTTAATTCATACACCTCTTTTATTTTGAGACACTATTATAAAGTTGTTGGGGGTGTTAATCCATTCATTAGGGTTTGAAAATATTTCCTTACCAGGATAAAGTGTATAACAGCCAGCTTGGAATTGAAAAATTAGAATGATTTACAACGAACTATAGATTAAGATGATAAAGACAAATAAATCTTAATGCAAAACAAAACATTTTCTCTTACAAATGGTATAACCCACGACAATAGTTCAAACCAGATGAATTTTCACCTTGAGGATCAAATGAAAGAGCTTTGCTTAAGAATTCGGGAATGCGTGACAATAATCCAGATCTTCGAAGAGTATCAATAAAACTTGAAAGAGTTTCATAATTTACTGAAATATATAACAGTGAAGAAATAATTATCATTGAAGAAACATATTCCAGGATGAAAATAAATGAAGAACAATACTTTATCCTGTAGATATAATAATTTGACAGTAGAGCAGAAAAGTTAAAACCTAATACTCAGATTGCAATGCGGCGAAGCACAAGACGTTTTCAGATCCAAAAGGATAGTGTATCTATAATGTGGAGTTGCGACATTGACTAGCTAACCGGTAAAATCTCATAAATAATTCATGTATTTATGCAATCTTAAAAGATATAAGCTTGTTGTGTTGTATTGTTACAAAGTTGCTATGGCATGTTCTTATTCAGCAGTGTTCCTTTAAATGCTAATCGAGAACTTGTACACGACTGTACATTGACTAAGTGTTCGAAATGAGAATGTAACTTCTGTCCAGTGATGTCCAGTTTCTAATATCTATCTAACCGAAATTTATTGATAATGCGACCTTCCTTGATATTTTATATTCTTAGTTTGAACTCAATAACAGAATAGATATGGAAAATTTAAACCTTCAGCTACTGGTTTATTATAATCACACCGCAGAATTTCAAATGAGAAAATATCTTCAGATTCAGTTTTTCGTTTTATTCCATCTAAATTGCATGAGCTGACTTCTCCATGTATAGATTATTTATAGGCATGTACATTTTGATGAAATTCCATTCGTTGAAAGTTGTTTATTAACAAACTCAAAAAGTTATGGAAAAAACCTAGTCAAACATAAATTATTTTAGTAAATTGTGATTTATAGACACTCATGACTATAAGAGTGTATCGATCTAAACAACCATTGGTGTCGGATAATATCAAGTGGACCGAAGCAATTACATTTGTCTGCAAATAAACAAGGCTCCAATGACAAATTAAGTGTTGAGAAATTTATATTTAAAGATAGTTTGCAGAAGAAAATGGTAGTGAGCTTAAAAGTACTAATGAGGAGTGGAGGACTATACAGTTTTTTAGTCCATGTTTATGAAGTGAATAACACCATATCTATAGTAGTTTAAAATTGAGAAATATGTGGGAGACAGAGCTTAAGGAAACAGTTGACGAGAGGAATTTTACCTTTTTTAACTTTCTAATTTGCTGCAACATGTGACAAACTGCAATAATATTAATATTATTATAATTTTATTCTCACATTAGGAATTTAACATGAGAGAAGCCAGTTTACAGGCATCATCACATTGATATATTTTTTTGAAAAATCTACAAGATTTTAAGGGGCCTGAATGGTACAGAAAGGAGGCCATTAAACTCTATTAAAAACATCAGAAGATCCTGCTAGTTATGAAACGAACAAGGAAATATCACTTTTCAAAATATATAGAGTGTTAAAGTTTAGATCGTTTTCAGTCATACCTTTTCTCCCGATAAGTGCCACCAATGTCACGTAAAACTCAAAGTTTCCCTAATAAGTAGTCGATATGTTTGACTGATCTTCGTGATGCCACGTCAAGCCAGATAAACGTCTATTTTACCATAAATTCTTATGCTTATAGCTTCAGCGACTAAATGAACCCACAAGGCTTTTGCACTGGTCAACAAGAATAAACCTTATATATATATATATATATATATATATATATATATTGATGACGGTAAAGTAAGGAATTCCATTTTATTCAGTCCTTAGTGCCGACTGAATCCCACTGGATAAATTGGCAATCAAATAAATACCAAATCAGTGAGCTTCATATCTCTTGACATTTGTCAATAAGATGAATTGGTAAGTTCGAATCTTTCAGTAAACCTCAGTTCCCTGTTGATTACAGATGCATCTTGTTGGAGAGTGCTTCATGCTGACTGCTTTGAATCATCTTACATATAAAGTATATTCTTAGTCATAATGATAAAATTTAAACAATTGAATTTTGTGGGTAATACCACACAGTACTGATCTCAATGATATTTCAGAATAAATTAAGAACTTACATGGATACTTATGTAGTACATTTTCTAAATGTTTATTTGCTGCTTGAAAATCACCCATCGCTGTCATAAGTTTTGACATAAAAATTGCAGCCAAAGGAATGTTTGGCAACCAAATTGAAAACAAAGATGAAGTCTGCATGTTTTTATCCTTTTGATTTTGTTGTGGTGGTGGCGATTTTACTGGAATGTATTTATTTTTAACTGGATTCATATCAGCAGGAGAATCTGTAGAATTTGAACTAGAATAGCTAATTTCTAATTCCTCCTTGAATTCCAAAAAACATTAGGTAGAAAGATTAGTGGTTAATAGCGATTTTATTGCTTGAAAAGAAATTCGGCAAACTAAAATATGAAAAGTAAAGAGTGTATAAAAAATCAAAACTGTTTGAGCATCAATTTATCGTTTTTGGATGTCTCTATAGGCTGCAATTTAAAACTCTATTGATGATCAAGAATTTGTCTTAGCTGTATGATCGAAAAAGAGCTGTGAACTAGTAAATTATGCTTCTAAGTAAAAGAGTTGCCAGGGGTTAAATTTAAATCCTCCCCGGTAAAAGATTGACTGATTCATTAACAAATGGACCGGCTGAAACTTTGGCCCAGAGAATTGATGTCAGGAATTCTCACAAAATTTTAGTCTGTGTTTGATACGTATATATATATATATATATATATATATATATATATATATATATATATATATGTTCTACGATTTAGTCAAATTACCAATCACGTAATGATGTTTCGGAAATAATGATGTAAATAATCAACAGGGTTACTAAAATTGGAAGTATGAAACAAGTTTTTCTTTGGTAAATGGAGTGACTTTAATTAGTGTCCAGTCATCCACAATAGGCGATTACGTAGTAATAAGAAGCTGAATGACTATTGATAGAAACAAGAAGGGGAAGAGGTGTACAATATAAACCTAGAAGTTACATCATGTTGATGGCCACGGTAGTGAAAAAGGGTGAACTAACTTTTTTTCTATACAAAGGCTAGGTTTGTTAAGGTGGATTGCAATCGCCTCTGCTATGCGAAGTAACCGAGTGCGTAATCCATTAGGTGAGTTAACTGGAATCTGATGGATCATTTTGAAGGCTTTTCCAGTAACCACTTGATGTCCTGTGTCAACTAAGTGTGCAAGTATGAAGCTCTTGATAGTTCTAATTTGTCTCTTGTTCAACCATGATGGGTGGTGCTCAGAAATTCGACGATGGAACTGCCTCATTATATGCCCAATGTAACTAGCTCCACAGGAGCAGTTGAATTGATAAATGCACATAGAAGTGGCAGAATCGGGCAGTTTATCTTTATTTCTTACACCTAGAATCGGGCGGTTGCAGAAGGCGGGACATAATTTAGCCGCTGGGAATGCTTTACGCAAGACTCTTTTTATGCGTTGTATGATGATCTCACTGGCAATATCACTCTTAAATTCCACCTTCAAGAAGATTTGTTTCTTAGGAACTGTTGGCGTTCTTGTCTTAACCGTCGTAATATCCATGTGCTTAGTTCAAAAGTTGTCTGGGTAGCCATTCCTACTAAGCAGATCACGGATGGTGACGCACTCTCCCTTTATAGCATCCTCTGAGCAAATAGCTGAGGCAAGGTATGCTAAGCATTTCATTAGGTTCCGTTTCTATTGGAGGGGTACAGCACTAAAGAAGTGCGTATACTGACCTGTTGATGTTGGCTTTCTACAAACACTTAGCTTCAGGGTTCCATCTGACCTTCTTACCAACAGAACATCAAGAAATGGGCCAAGGGGTGACCCCATAGCAATACCATCAGACTGCCGGTAAATTTCATTGTTGAAAAGAAATTGTGCTTTCATCGTGCACTTCAGAAGTAGTTCTTTCAATGTGGAGACTGGGATACCTATTTCCATGTTGTGCTTCGTGAGTTCGTTCCAAATAAAGTCTACCATCTCCATTAAACGAACGTTAGTAAAAAGAGATGAAGCATCACGCGAAGTCATTAACTTATTATCTACTTCCAGATCCTCGATCTTTCCAACAAATTCAAAGGTATCTTTGAGATTGTACTTCACTACTTCTTTGCGGAGAGGCTTCAAGAGTTATACTAGCCATTTTACTGTTGTATGATACGGAAAGTTAGTCATGTCAAGAACTGGTCGTGGAGTCAGACCGTTTTTATGTAGTTTCGGCAGACTGTAAAGTCTAGGTGTGACGGTTCCAGTAGGTTCCAGCATTTCGAGGGTGCTTCTGAAATGAAACCTTGTTGTTTTATCTTTTTCAGTGATTTGGTTAGATGTTTCTCGGTTTTCTGTGTTGTATCACTATAAGCGGCTAATTTCTGAAATTTACTTTCATCACTATATAAAGAATTCATTTTGTCTATGTAGTCTTTTTTATCCATTAAAACTATTCCTGATCCTTTATCTGGCTTGGTAATCATGATATTTGCATTAGTTTTAAGCTTTTTCAAGGCATCTCTATGTTTCTTCGTTAAAATACTCTTCATACCGTTCCTACTACTCGTGTAATTTAGGCAAGAGTCAACAAGTGCAATCTTAAGTCTATCAACGTCTTCATTAGATGATGGTACCAAACCTTCCGTCTGTATGTAAATGTTCTCAAACTGTATATCCGTTTCCATATTACTAATCCTATTACGACTATAAGTAACCCATATACTATGAAAACAACACAAATTTTGTCATTATATCAATCTACAATTTACTTACATATTTTATGCTACTTGTTCATACGTTCTAATATAAATGCTTTTACATCTAGGTAACCTGCTAACATCAAGCTATACCATTATGAAACAACGTGTAATACATTGTCATAAGAGAAAAACAGATGCTACAAATAAAGCACATATTACGCATATAGATAACTCAAACCAGCCAATTACGTAAATAAAACTTCAGCTAATTTAGTAGATCATGTGTGTACAAACACACTGGGGAATCATCCAATTCTAAAAGCTAGTACCTCTTTTTCATTCAAACGAGATTTTTTTCCAAGTATTCTAACCCAACACAAATGGGCATATATATATATATACATATAAATGTATGTTATTTTAACAAATAAAACATTGAAATAACACTTCGCATATTTTTGCCGTAATCAACACTCACTGCTTTTCTTTTTCCACTGTAGCAAAAAAGTGCAATCAGAATGGGATATGAGAATGTTGATTGTGGCTGAAAGTTTTAGTTTGCTTTAAAATGGTATAGTGCATAAAATGCTTTTAGTTTAAAATACAGTATTCTTTTTACTGAACTAACAAATCAGGTTGTTCTTAACATTGAAATGATAAAAACAACACATGATACATTAATTAAGATGTGTACTGCTTTGTTGTAGTATAATGTGCTCAGAAACAAGTTGGTCAGGTAAGAATAGGCAAACGTAGTTCTTCCCTAGATTGGCAACACATACAAATGAATTTTTTTTATATAGTTCATTTAATTTAATTAGCTATTCAAATAGATATGCGATTACTTAATACATTAATAAGAATAAACTGAAATTTGAAGGTGAAGTGGTAATTGCTTCAATAGTACCTGTTGTTTTCCATATCCTTTCAAGTAGAGAAATATGTAAAGAGGGTCCATTTAAATATAATGGGACACAACTTGATTTTTAACTGCTATCAAGAAGAAAAAAGAGTCGGAAATGTATAAATTCTTTGGATCTGTTTACTTATCATTTAGGTTGAGAAATTAGTCAATCTATTACCCAAGAAGTATCTTATGTAATGGGAGAAAAACACACAGTAATTCCCAAGGCATTCAAATATAGAACGATCTGATAATTCAACTTGTATATATTCAGCCTCTTGTTTTCAACATCCGCATTATTATGTCTTTTTTTTTTACTCCGATACCTATTGTCTTTTCGAAGCGGAGCTAAATTTATAAAGATACCCAGTTAGTTAACGATGCTTAACAACCAAGATATGGGAAATGAGTAAAAATACTTACAGAATCTGTGGGTTTTCTTCGACTTCTAATCAAGTGTAAACTTATAAAGAATTGCATGATAAGATGTGTAGTAAAATCCAACGAGGACATTATCCTAAATGGATCGAATAAAAGTGATATAACGAGCAAATGAACTTTACATTAGTTTCCTCTATTCCATTCGAACTCATGCAACAGTGCAATGGCTTACGAGTTTTCATATGAATTCATGGAAGTTGGTGGTGTCCACCAGGGATACCCACTAACATTGTTCCTGTTTAGCTTTGTTACAGATATGGTGATGGACAAGGCACTGGGTATCTCCGATTTCACATGGACTGCCCCAACTTGCTCACAGGTATCTATCTGACTTGAGGTACTCAGACAGCATTGTCTTTTTAGGCAAAGACGCTGACAAAACATAGTCTTCTCAGCAACCCAAATGAAAATCTGAGTATGTTTGACATACTCTTTACGCCTACCGGAAATAAAATGATGCTTCAGGACTGGTTTGCAGCTACTCCCACTTTCAAAATAAGGAGTAAAATGGCAGAATATTCTGACCATTTCACTGTTAAAAAGCTGCATTAAACTAAGTGGGTAAGTTACCAACGAAATCTCAGATCAAATGCAAAGTGCCTGTTTGGCATTTTGCCAAATTACATTATCTCTGCAGCTGGTAACATATCCGACTACCTGTTTAGGGATCAGTATACTGCGATGTGGTAAGTTGTGTTTTATAACATGGTTAGGAGACTCAGTCGTTACAAAAAGATGATATGACAAAGGTACAGTTATTTGACCCTAGATATCTTCGTAGCTTTGCTCACTTAAAGGTAGAATCTTCGTGTGAGCCATGTCGAGGTTAGGATAAGGGAGGTGAGTTAGTTGATGAAGTAGTTAGGCTCCATTGACCAATATGTCTTAAATATGTCCTACACATTCTGAGCCACTGTCTACCTCCTCGCACGATCCTACTTGTATCAGGTTTAGACTGGAACGAAGTCACGGGCGACCAGATTATTACACGGCGTCAGTTCTGAATGATGACCTGAGCCATTTAGGAAAATAAAGGCTTCCCGTTTGGGGTTCGCACGACACATAAAATCGATTGTTGGAGGCTGTAGGCGATATAAATCAGAGATGATCTCAACGCAACAGATGCGTCCATATACTATCTTTTTCCTAACCGCCATTTCATCATTGTTTTAACCTCTCTTTTCTTCCACTGATAACCTTCTAAAACTTTTCATTACACTTTTTCTTCCTGTTTCCCTACCTATCATTTTGCAGTTTTGTGTTTTCATGGGCTGATATTTGTGATAACTTGAACTGTTACTCAGTAATACGAGCTCCTATGTTGACATCTCTGAACTATTCAAACTTGTATTAGATGTTATGGATTCCGATAAGTATCATTTTTATTGGTATTAAGAAAATGAGTTGCATTACCAATGGATCTATAACGAATCAGGTGTTAACCATAGTTGTCGTTCAACTTCGTGTACCAGTTCTGTACAATAAAGTTTTTTTAAAGAGAAAACTGAACTGTTACTTCACTTCATGAAAAGCTGTATTAGTATTCTTAAAAAGACCCTTGTTTTACTTATTCAATCATCACCAAAAGTAAAATATTAATACAACGCAGAATGTTTTATGTATGTATATACTAGTTTTCAAAATTACTATTCACTAGCATGTAAGCCTTTTATCGACACTTAGTGAATCTCAGTAAGAAAGTAAACACAATAAAGGAAAGGTTTAGCAATGCACTTCATTATTTTGATAAAATGAACTGGTTAACAAAGTTTCCCAAATAATTAGGTTGCAGTCTATGCAATTCACATATTTTCTGAGTGACATGTAACCGAAACAGGCAATGGTTCAATAAATAAATAAAAATTTTCGAACCATTCATCATATGCCATTAGAAAAGTTACTATGATTGCTTACAATCATATGATTTGATGATTATTACGAAGTGTAAGACCAAACATCAACATTATTTATCACGACAAGTAACTTGTACAAAAAGGATAGAAGAAAACAACTTACAGTCTTGAGGTAGTACTCATCACAGACCGAAACCAACTGGAGAACCATTGAAAATCTAGGAGTACTCGACAGCTGTTTCGTCTTAATCTGAAACTCCTGAGCAGTTCCCACCCGCGAACCGGCTAGGGATTGAAATCAGGAACTTCAGATTTCACGGCGAACGTGTTAACCATCCAGTCACTGGGTCGGAGTTCGATGGTTCACACTTTTCAACATCTGTCAATTCGCGATATATCACGACTATCACCCAAGGTCTTCAGTTGGCATCCGCTTCTCTCCTGATTGGCTGACCCCATAGGTCACAGCTTTTCATTAGAACTACGGAATAGCCATCTGGAAGCGCTATATCGCAAATTGACAGATGTAGGAAACTGTGGACAGCTGAACTCAAACTCAGTGGCTGGATGGTTAACATGTTCGCCGTGAAACCTGAAGTTTTTGAGTTTGATCCCCAGTAGGGTTGCAGGTGCGTACTACAAGGGAGTCCCATACTAAGACGAAATACTTATCCAGTACTCCAAGGTTTTCATTGGTTCTCCAACTGAAGTCAGTCCGTGATAAAATACTATCTTAAAATCAAAATCCCTATTCACCTCAAAACTTCCAGATTTTTACAAAAAATTATTTCTTTTCACTATGTAATGAAGACTGGAAAACATTTTTATTTAGGAGTACATACATAAGCATATATGGGCTTTTCGTACGCTTAATCTACTGAAAACATTCAAATATTATTGTTAATCTAACGTACTACTCATCTCAATTCTTTCCTCCTCTGACAATCTCCTTCATCTTGGTTCGTTTCTTATCATACCTTTAAAAATGTAGTTATGTTAGGCAGTTTAAGGCGTCTGTTTTGTTCAGTTCTATTTGTGTCCAATTAATTTTGTTTTAATACTGATTAATATGTGTTCGTGTTCAATTCATCCAAAATGACCCAGTAATTCAAATTGTCTGTAAGATATTATCAAATATTAAAAACGTTGGCAGATTGAAAATCAACATGAATTAAGGTGGATTACACTTGTGAATATCACCATCTACATTGCAGTGTGTATGTATGTTATCTAGACACATTTACCTGTGCAATAAATATCTACCATGTTGATTTAATTTTTATTGTATGAAAGGATATTGAATATTGATATAGATATTCACTATGTACTTATATGCATAGAAAAAAATAGCAGAATTGGATCACGAAGTAACACTGAGGAAAATAGAATTAAAAAATCATTAATATGGGTATAAAACGTAGGCACTGTAGTCATTGTGTGTTAAAAATCAAATAAACTAATTTGATATGGAATAAAAAGAATCATTAAAACAGATGCAATTACCTGTAATTGACCTAATTTCAATATTTCTTGTTCGCAATTTGCATAATCCTTTGTATACAAGTACAAATTAATCAGTTGAACAATCGCTCTAGCTTCAATATTTATAGCCAACCTTTTTGTATAATTAGGTTCAATTTCATAAACTGAATTGTTTAAATTATGTAAATTGTTGGTTAGGTGACCAAATGGAGATGTTTTTAAGCCAGTAACCGTAGATACTTGTTTCATAGCATCTTGACACAAATTAATAATTGTAATTAAATGCTGACTTAAACTTTTCATTGGTTCATTGTTTGGGTCAGTTATTGGCCTAAGATTATCTTTGAAACGATTCGTGTTGAAGTGATCACCACACTGAGCCTGTATAACTTGCATATACGCAGATGCTAGTTGGAGAAGGACACTAGAAAGTTAAAGCGAATAAAGATTTATGAGATATGTTTGAAGAAGAAATGAATGTTGAAAGTAGCAGCAGAAAGCCTTACTGTTCTTATTATTATCTCTAAGCTGTCTTCTAAATCTTAGACTGTTGGAAGTAATAATAACAATCATAAAATCAAGAGCTAGCAGCACATGAGAAGTTTTGATAATATTCAGAGCAGAACGTTGTAAGAAAGGTGTATTCAAATAAGACCAACAAAAGTAGAAAAAAGTAACTGATTGACTAAACAACATAGCAAAAAACGATAAAATACTCCTCAGTATCTGGCTTAAAGAAACTAAAGAGTAATTATACCAGGAACTAACAATTTTGGTTATTGATGCGGAATAAATAACTGTGTGGTTACACGGAGTTTAGGAGAAAAAAGTATTAAAGAGTGAATGCATTTCTAATCACTGTTTCTTATAAGTCATCAAAGAGCACATTTAAAAAGCCGAAACAAGTTCAAGTCTAACCTAAAATGCTGCTATTCTAAATGCGATTATTCAAACGTCAATCACGTCTATAAAATTTGATGCATTGCATCTTTCAGTGTATGTATTAGGAAGCGCTGTTGAGGTAGCTTATACTTACTTTTGAAACTGTCAAGTTAAACCAAATTGTATTGATGTAAGTATCTCAGTTTGAGATACTATCTGGAGACTAGATCCTGTATTACCATCTTGTTTTCGTAAACCTTCTGCATTTCAGGACTTGCTTAATTGACTATTTCTTCCTGTTTATACTCAGTAGTTGAGTAAACTCTACAATACAACTCATTGGATTAAAAAAAAGTAGTAGTTTGTATTCAGCTGATTATCATCAAAAATTATTTCATGAAAAATGCTTAGTGTTCAATAGCATGAATTCGCTTACTCTGACATGTTAATCTTCTGTTCGTTTACAATATCTCCAACTTCACTAGTCTGTACGCGCATAAGTAGTCTTGACTGAACTGACTTCAAATGATTTAAGTTATTGATTCGTTCCTCGGGTTTATCATCTTCAGCTGTTTGTAGTTTTATCAGAAGTCTTAGTCCATGACAGATTTCTTCTAATTCACTTACTTCTGAGGCTGTGTGAAACAAGAGAAAACATTCAACAGCACTAACAAAAAACGGTAGATAACAGATAAGGCAGATGAACGTGTGACAAAAACGTTGTTATTCTGTTTGTTGAACAATACCGATTCAAAACAATAACTTCCATATTTTCGAATAGAACAACGTATTTCACCTGCTGAAATTAATAAACCCCGAAAAAACATACAAAGTCAGGTAAAAAAACAAATCATCGTCAAGAGTATTTTTAGGGGTGTCAAAGGATGACGCAAAAAGTGCTTATAAGCAAGTTGAACATTTCGTTTTTACATTGCAAAATAACATTACAAATTGTATTGTTTCATTCACAGCAGTTATAAAATTCACTGTTTAACAAACTGCATAGGCCAATAGTTGACGAAGTTAATAACTGATGTCATATATCATTCCTGTTACTGTTCATTTTCATTCATCGTTCTTCAACTTCAGGAAGTGTTTTATCCTTTCTCATAAGCAGTTAGTGGGCTCATGAGGCATTTTCCAACGAAATCAATAGATGACGATTTCATGGTTTCTTTAGATAGTTTGCCAAATACCCCTGCATAATTTAAGGTTTTGCGAAACATAAACGAGAGATGTTGAGGGATTCTCAAGATATTTAATGGTCAGAAAAACAGTAAGCTTAGCAGCTTGTGACAAAACTACAAAGATGTGGTTGCCAGCTTCACTAAAACAAGTTTTTAAAGAAATGAGATACTCTACCACTGACTGTATTGTTACGTTAAAATAAAGCCTCTATATATGGAATTTATACTACAAAATCAAAACATAATTAAAAGCTTGGTCCACTAGAAAGCTTATAACTAGGCTTTGAAATTCGGGTCCAACTTCTTGTCCTAATTTGAAACTGTAGAAGTTTATTTGAAAAATAATGGGCTCCAGTTTATTGTTTTTAGTGAACTTTGAAGTTCTGATAGCAGAAGTCAGCATCTCTAAAAGTTGAGTTAATCTCCAATTCGTTCTAAGTTGTAATTGACCACTAAAATTATTATTTTTTTCTGTTCTGCTTGATACATTTATGTCAAAAATAACTAGATAATTGCGAGTCACTTAAAGGTTCATCATGAACTTGCACCGTTCAAGATGCCTTAAAAGTGATCCTAATCGTCCAGCAGTTTTAACAGCTCTGTTACTTTTATATTTCTGCCCTCAGCCTGATACCTGACATTGGTAATAAGTTCACTAATTCGTAATATAGCAAAATCATTACCATGACACTAACCTCTATCGAAAAATACCAGCGAATTCCAAAAATTCGTTCTTTTTATACGTGAAATTCAGTTTTACACACTGAGCAGTGAACTATTACTTGGTAACTGCCTGTTCACTAAGATTATACAGTCGGTATAACAAATAAACAATAATTAAGGTTATTATTGCAACAGTTCTCCCTTGTCTTATACGTGGAATACACCAGGATGGATTCAAATGCCTAAAAATTGTATAGTTATAGTAAACAGCATTAGTGACAAAATAAGTGAATTAAGTCATGGGCTGAATGCTGTTTTTTTCAAAGAAGCTTCAGAGATGGGAATCCAAAAGGAAAATAGCTGCCGCTCCGTCTTCTTTTGCTTCATTAACATGCTAACTGGTGTCAATTTGTGTCAAAAAGTGCCTTTGGATTGATCAACCTCCCTCCAAACAACTACCATGATCTCTGTATAGTATTTACGATAAATATCCTTCGGCTAATGATGCATATTCTAAAAGCATGAAGCGAAAGTTGTGAAAAAACAATCGTACATTTCTTAAATGAATACTCAATACCATGTTTCTTTGAGACTAAACTTTTTCACATAACTCACTAGTGACTTAAAATAGAATCTTTCGCCACTGTCTTGTTCTATTTTAATATGTCTCTGTCTTAGTAAAGGTTGGTTTTCCGAATGAAACTCGAGCCAAAAACTACTAGTATTAGATTTTATAATGGTACTTTCACAGTGGTAATAAGTTACTAAAGTCACCGGTTGTTCAATGAACTTTACTTGTCATTCAGATTTGAAGTTTCCTACTGCTGGTTTTCATGACCAAACTGGTCAACCCGTGACAACAAATCACCTCCTTATAAGTAAACTCGATAATACTGCTTTTTCCATCCATTCAAATATACAAATCACACTATTGCTCATTAGCATAACCATAGACTTTCAACTCAACTCAGCATGTCAGGATTTTTTTTAATGATGTAAGCCATTCACACTTGACGGAAAAAGTCTTATAAATTTAAAAACGACTATAATTAAGCTCACCAGATTCTATCGCTTCATGAGTTAACACCGAGTGAAGTAAACGTTTCGCCTTTTCAAATTGTTTTATATTGATCAATAAATCTGCCAATTCTAAACGAAGACCACTTTGACCAGTTTTTACGGCAGTCTCATAGTACGATACAGCTTTAGCATAATGATGAATTTTGACAAATGCATGACCAATTTTACTAGCTAAACGTAAATCATTCGGATTTTTACGTAGAACAGATTCATAGACTTCAATAGCACGTTCTGGTTCTTGAATTGTCATATAGGCTTCGCCTAACAAAAGATAAGCTTCGTTTGTGCCTAGTTTCTCAGCTAAATCCCTATGAGATACAAAAGTGATTGTATAAAATTATAAGAATGATAGTTGATCGCAGTAAACTATAATAACGCACAAATAGACATCGTGGATTTGGCTATGAAAATAACATCGGAATGGAAATTTCATAAAAATACAAAAATTTTTGACAGTGTAAATATATCTAAGTTGAAATCAAGAAGTAAAGAATTCGTACAACGTGTGAAGACAGTTTTCGATGATCAAAGGAATAAAAAATTTGCAACCTAACTAAACAAAACACATTTAAGTGATGTTATTATTTTATTGTTTACCCTTTGAGTTATTTGTGGAACATACGGCCTAAGTAGCACATCACCAGTTCACTCTGTTTTCTGCAGTCTCACTAATCTGGCTCCACGACTACACACCAGCTTCTATTTCTACCTCACACAATCTCCTTCATGTCACCATCAAACACCCAACTCGTCGTTTGTCAAGTGTATTCCAGTCAACGGCCTGGAGAGTGATGTCTCCAAAAGGTCTTCTCAGTGTATGCCCAATCAATCTCCGCTCTCTTCTACATATTTGTTGGGCAATAGGTTCTTCGTTGGTTCGTTGTCAGGCCAGAGTTACTTGATGCTTATTCTTTCCGGCCATCTGATCTGATCTTCATTCAGTATCGAGTGAGCGTAGGCGACAGCTGTTGATGTATATCTGGAGTTTGTTGGAAATGCTTTCCGTAACGCGCCAAGTCTCTCAACCATCACATTGAAGAACTGACTGACTTGACTGACATTAGAGTTGAAAATCCGTATCCTGTTCACACTTTATACTGAGTGCAGTGCAGATAGGTGGGTTGAAAGACACAACTTCCTTTAGATTTCTCCCATTGACGGTAATTGGTGCTTGATGTTGTTGTTGTTGTTGGTGGTGGTGGTGGTGGTGGTAATGGTTGGGTATCTTCATCACCCCTGTCTTATCTACCTTCCCATCTCCGCTGCCTCACCACTTCTGCAAACGTGTTAGTTTTCGTCTGTAGATGTTCGAGTTTGTGTGACAAGTCATTGGACATAAATCATCATCTTGAAATCCAGATCTTCTAGGGTATTTCGTTGGGCCAGTCAGCGTAAGCCCACCTTCTCGCTTCTCACTGTTGTCTGTTGCATGATCCAGTCCAGTCCAGTCGACCACAATCAGGAAGATGATCGGTGATAGAAGGCAGGAGCCTTGTCTTACTCTTGTCTTCACTTCAAAGGCGTCACTCAGCTTTCCATTGTGAATCACTCGACATATTAGCTGCTGTTGAATGAGGTTGATAAAGGTTTGTGGCACTAAAACCACCGGGTTGAAGCAGCTGCCTGCCAAATCACTTCTCGATCGATGCTGTTGAAGGCCTTTTCAAAGTCGACGAAGTTGAGGTTGAGATGTAGTTTACTGCAGTTCTATGCTCTCTTCTATGATGATGTGTAGCGTGGCGTTGGGTTGCGGTTTGATCCACATATGATGCACTTTTTCTGAAGCCAGCCAACTGGCCTGTTCCGGTCGTAATTTCGAATCTAGAGTATTTTCAAGTTTCCCCAGGATGGTGCGGGCCAATATTTTGCTTAAGGTGGACAGTGGTGCATGATTCCGTGACAGTTCTTGTCAAGACTTAGGTCACCCTTCTTTGGAAGTTTGACAAGTTCGGCCTTCTTCCAATCGATAGGCAGGTACCTTCGCTTCCCTCCTTTCTCCCTCCCTTGCAAACTTTCTGCAGTAGTGGTGTGAGAATTTCCGCTGTTGTCTCTGTGTCTGTTCTCAGTGCTTTTAGAGGAATTCCATGTGATCCTGCCGACTTCCTGCTTTCCAGTAACTTTGTGGTGTACAGGACTTCACTTCGGCTTTTGTTGCAGGGCTTGTGTTCACTGATAGTTCTGTGGATGGGCTGCTGGTGGTACTTCCGAATGGGTTGTAGGTGGTGAGGGTGGTGGTCGATTCAAGAGTTTTTTGAAGTGGTCAGCCCATCGTTTCCTCTGTCTCTCATTTTCGCTAACCAAGTTTCCTTCACTAACTCTCATTGGTTTCACCTGTGTTCATCTCTTCCCTCACAGACAGTAACCTAGTTATTTGATATAATGTTATCAGGTCTCTGTCTCTCTCACCTGCAGCCTGTTCTGCTTCACTTGTCAGTGTGTCGTAGAAGTGTCTTTTGTCTTTGTGTGCACTCTTCTTCACTTCCTTGTCCAGTGTAGTGTTTTTTAGGTTGTATTCAGTTCCTCTTTTCGTTGTTCATCCCTACACTGCACTACACTACATTGGTTCATCTTCTGCTTCACCATCACCGTCTTCCTCTCCCTGCTCTATCAGCTTCCATGTGTCCACCGACATCCATTCCATTCCTTGTCTTGCCTCCTCTTCTTCCTTCCTAACATGGTTATACAGGTTTCCTTCCACGTCGCTTTCACAGCACAGAGTTCACGTGTTCATCCACACAGGTTTCTTCACGGATGTTGCTCAATGTCTCCCATTTTGTCCTGATCACTGGCTGACGTGAAGATGTTCTTTGCAGTTTTGTTCCTCAGTTCAGTTTCTGTTCTGAGTGTTCAACTTGAACTGCGGTCTATCACCATCTTCTGTGAAACTTTTCAACTTGATTTGGAATGTAGGTTGCTTGCACTAGATAGTGGATGATGTGAACCTACATCTGCTCCCCTTCTTCATCTGATCTTGTGTCCAGTAGGCTGCGTCTCCACTTTCTTCACATTAAAATGAAGTCGATCAGTGTAGTGTGTTCTGGTGTCTGGTGAAATCAAATCCAAGTCGCTCTGTGAATATCCTTGTGTCTGTACACGCTGTCTCCAACCACCAAATCATTCAATGCTGAGAAGTCTGCGAACAGTTCTCCATTCCCATTCATTTCACCGAGTGCCTCTCGGTCGATGATTGCTTCTCTCCCTGTGTTGTCTGTTTCCAGTTTGGCATTCATGTCACCCACTAGAATGGATTTTCACGTCTCCATCTGGGGTGTTGTCTTGTCCATTACTGATTGTAGTTATCTGTGGAATTCCTTCTTCTTCTCTTGGCCTGCATTATTTGCAGGTGCGTAGCATAGCATTTTGTGATTGTGACTTTCCTTCCCTTTCAGCTGAATCTATCTTGCTGTCATGATCCGGATTCTGGAGGAGATTGGCTCCCACTGCATGAGAGCCTTCGAAGCTGTTGACGACATCATGGTAGCCACTCCGAAAGTCAGTGTGGTCGTGGTTGTCATCTTGGTGAGAATATCGGAGTAGATTATTGACTCTGCAGTTGACAGTTTCGAGGGACCACTTCCATTCCGTCTGCTGATTCCTCGCAGATTCGTAGCACCTCTTTGTTATACCTTCTCATCTCTTTTGAAATCTAGGCAGCTTTTCTAGGCTCATATATGGTGCGAATATTCCATGTCCTTGTGTTTACTTTTGCCTACAACATCAAGAGAAGAGAAGACACATTGGCCAATTGTCTTCATGAAGGCTTTCACCAGTCGGTGTCATTTCGTCTCCCCGATTCCAACGAGGAGTTAGTTTACTTTTATATTTTATAATTTGTCTGTGCTTTGAAGTTTCTTTAGCGATAGGATTGGTTTTCCGGGGTAGGGTTGACAGCCCTATGCCCAACCTTCCTTCTTTAGGTGGGCTTAGGTCCAGCTAGTAAACTAGTGAACCAGTAAATTCGTCGAGGTTTGTTTCCGTAACAACACTACGAAAATTAAAACATTGGTTGAACTTCAGAATTTTACGGAAGGGAATAGCAACTGAGATTGGTAAAGTTGTTTCTCTCCCAGTTCACCTCGTAATTCTTGGACTTTTCAACTTTTAAGGTAGACCAACCTTTTAGTTTTAATATTGTTATTACGTAGGCGAGTTTCGTTTGGTTCAGTTCAAATGTTTTATTCCTTTGATGACTGATAACTATCTACTCATTTTGCTACGAATTCTTTACTTCTTGATTTCAACTTAGATGTACTCACAGTGTCAATTATTTTCATAATTCTTACGAAATTTCCATTCCTTTTTTATTTTCGTGGCCACAGACTACTAACAGTTATATATTCTGAGTTTATTCGGGTGTTCCTTTTTAATGTACTATTCATTTCAGACTGATATCAGTTACAGTACCACTGAAGACCTGGGAGAACTGGTCAGCTGTTTGGTCCTTGTGTGAGACTCCTCAGCCGTAGGCATCCAACTAGTGGCTGAATGGTTAGTACGCTCACAGTGAGACCCACGGCTCCTGGTTTTGATCCCTGCGGGGGGGGGTGGGGAGGATGATGAGTTCCCACTTCTAAGAAGTCCCATACTAGAACGGCTTCCAGTGGTTCTCCAACTGATATGTTCGCGATGAATACAACCTTAGATTTTATATTCATTATATAAATTGTCTACTTCCATAATCATTTTACATCTAGTTTTAGGCTGGTTAAGCTACATAAGTGATCTCTCCTCCGGTGGAGTTTCTTGATTTTATTACCAAACATAAGAAAATGACATAACATCCTCATTAGGATTCAATGAAAAAGTTATCTAGATATCTAAAGTCCACTACTCAGAGCGTTAAAGAAGACAGAAATATGTGGTAAAATTCACAGATACTCAGTGTGTTTAAACTTCGGAGTTTTCCTTAATCTGAGCATTTGATTTGATCCTCTATTAAAAGAGACATTAGAAACATTGTCGGTGAACGCCAGAACATTTAAGTCACTTTCAAAAATACCAACAAAATTATCGTGTGTTGCACGTACATGTTAACCTCGTTATATCAAACTGTTTCCTACACTCGAAGGACTAGGGAGTGTTGAATGATATATATATATATATATATATATATATATATAATTCGTCAATTATCTGTAATAAACTACGAATAAAATGCTCAACAAATGCTCAATACTAACGAATAGAACGTACTATTAAATTAAATTTCGCATTATAACTACGAAATTCTGTGTTCCAGAAACTTAAATAACACTAAGTTTCATAAATTTCCCGGGAAATTACGCAAAACACAATCTGAAATTAGCTCCTTTCTCAAAAGTGTAGCCATCTTTAAAAGATTCTATATAAGTATTTGAGTAAGAAACGATTAACACGAGAACAGTAACATAATATGAGTTACATGTTCGAATAAACTTAAGGTATGTCAAACAGACAGGGAGACAGTTAAAAGCAGGATTTGACAAACAAGTCTACTGATCCTAGTAGCAATACTTTGCAGCAGCATGTAAAGAGATTGTGAATCGAAAACAAATGAGATAAAAGTAGGCAAAAGTGTATAAAATGGAAAACAGAATAAATAAATGAAAGTTGATGAAGGTAATCGAAAGTTTGAAGGTGACGAGAACTGCATTTATCTGCGCTATTTAAACCGATTTTTAGCCACGTTACCAATAGTCTCCAACCTCTAATTCCTAACATACAGAGAACCCCAGTGACGTAATCTGGTCAGTTCAGACTAAAAGTCATGGACTGGTGCTACTTCTTGATTTAGCAACTGTAAACCTTCTTCCAACCTATTCCTACTCCAAAAAATACTTTCTGATTTTCCCACGAAAATATAGTACTAAGAGATGAATGTAAACAAGTTACCTTGTGTTGCAAATTATCTTCATTAAGTGATGTTTGTTTTGCGAAATCCATTAGTTGTATTTTAAACTGGACAGCTTTCATCCTGTTTCTATGTATTTTTCTTCTTCAAATATTCTACTATTTTCAGAAGCATATGCATAGTAAACATGGAATATAAACAGAATCTAAACCTCTAACTGTCAAACTTTAATTTAGTAATCGTGATTCACTAAAGAACTCAGTGGTAAACATTTTCACATAGATGCAAACAATCGCAAAACGTTTTCCTCAGTTTTTGCTACAGCACAAAATTGTTATTACTACTTCAGTAAACTGTTCTTCAGTCTCAGAGAAATTTCACTTTTAATCAGTGAGTAGGGTGTTTAAAAAAACCTACATACATCAGAACAGCAAACCTGATAATCATCTTCAACTGTTATTGAGGAATAAAGAACAAAAGGTTCTTTATATATACACCCAAGTGTGGGGTTTGTCAGGAACCGATTAACTTCAATACAACTTTTATCATAGATCAGTATCAACCAGAAAACATTGAAAAACTGATGACCACTAGAAAGTCAGTTCATTCCAATCTTCAAATTTTCAGTGGTGCATATCCATGACCTCCTGCAGAAATGGGTTGAAATGCGTCAAGTCTTGCATAAGAAAACTACCATTCAGCCATTGGGTATAAACCTGATTGTTTGGCTTAACTTCAGTCAGTTCATAGGATGGCACTGACTAGCTTTTGTTGCATTTTTTCCTCATTGTTTTCAGATTGCATGAACAGTATATGATAGGTTTAGTTAAAGTTAAAAGTCATAAAAACAAAATAATATATACTACCTGTAGCACGCAGCAAAAAGTTTCTTTTCCTTTCTATGATACAAATAAATATCACCCATATGCTGTCTCGCAGTTATGTAGTACGGATGATCAGATTGAATTTGTCTTAGGGTGTTTAGTGCTGTTTCATGATCGTTTTGTGCTAAGGCTAAATTGGCCATAGCAATTGTGACTCGAGCGACTTCAATCGTGCCAGCAAATGCCAAGTAAGCATCTTGCAAAACTTTTGTAGCTTCATGCTACAACCAATGAGAAAGGTAAGGATGAAATCGTTGTTAATTAAGACTTTATCAGAGTTTTTTTAATATGAAGCTCTCAACTATCACATGAAAATTACTGCTAAAACGAACAATCATATTTCAGTAGGCTTAAAACTCCTTTCATTCTATACTGGTCCCAGTTAGCTGATCACCCCATGCCACTGCCAAGGATGCATAACATATTTCAGTGCAGAAATACGCTACTATACAACATCAGTAGAAAGAAACCGCTCATACTGACCTATAGGTTTTGTCAGCCAGATCGAAATGATCTCGACACCGAACGACTGTTTCGTTTGTCTTAAAAAGAGCCCATCAGCAGTGTACCTGCACAAATTCAGCTGATTTAGCTGAATCGCTCAGATCAACAGTATCTAGTTAGCTAACAGATGAACTGGTATACTTTAAGTCGGATGATCGATTTGCAAAATATATGCAAGTTGCATGGTTTACGTTGACATCTCTAACAACTGTGTATTTTTAAAACTGCCTAATTGTGTATCCTATTTAGTTAATTCGTGACAACTTTGAGTCAAAGATCACGCTGATGGATACCACAGTTGCGCAGTTAGAAAACTACCTAGCTGTAAGAAATGTCAACGTGAACTGTGAAACCTTTAAATAATTCGATAATTGTTCTTCATATTGAAGTGGGGTCTTTCTTGATAAAGAGCTCGTAGTTTTGCCAACTTCTGTACATTAGTGATACAAATACGTTAACCACTGGGAGTGACCACTCATTCTAGTGGAATGAAAGTATGGATGTAACTAAGCTACATACTGAGCTTTCGATAGGTACAAAGGAATTGAGGTCGAAACTGTCAATGAAGCTTGATAAACTATATAATTTGAAGAAAAGTGGCTTATTTCAGCGTAGCTTTTTCATGGATTGATACCAGCTGAAAAACTATCGGTAACTTAGTTATCATTGCGTAGCCTTTTCCCACTTTGAAACTTTTCACAATATGCACAATCTAAGTATTGGAGTATAGTAGAGTTAACTCTGGTATAGATAGATACAGCTGTAAAACGCTCCTACTTTTTGAATATTCAGTCGCGTAGTTTCAGTTTGCGGAGAAAATCACTTTAATATCAATCAGCTGGATAAAGATTTCATGTTCATTTCTGAATCACCGACAGATGCATAACTCTGACCTCTAAAGTTAAAAAGGTAAGCTGCAATAATCGACGCTCAGCAATGATGTTGAAAGAAAACCACATTAAGTTATAAATTATTATACGTTTTAAGATATAAAAATTGTTCATTCAAACCCAGTGACTGAATGGTAGCGTACTGTTTGTGAAACCTGATGTTTCCGACTTATATTCTGGTTGGGGCCTCTGGTGTATGCTACAGAAGAGTAACTTATCTACTAGTATTATATGAATGTGTATAAATGAATAAGAGTTTTTTATTCGATAAATTTCAAATCTCCAGTTTCCAACTTTTGTTATTTCGCAATATAGCGTGACTATCACCCAAGGTCTTTAATTAACATCCACTTTCCTTCCGACTGGTTGACTTCACAGGTTATATCTTCTTATTAGAACTTCGAGATATCCATCTGAAAGTATGTCACTAATGAGCACTACACAGCAATGTATTTTGAGGCTAATGGGGATTTCACGTTTTAGGTAGCATTCATCATAACACGAACTGATAGAAGCAGTAAGTTGTGGACCACTGAACTACAACCCAGTGACTGAATGGTTAAAATGTTCCCCGTGAAACCTGAAGCTGCTTAATTCAATCCCTAGCCCGGGTCGTAGGTGTGTATTGCTGAAGAGTCTCATATCAAGACGAAATGGCTGTCCAGTGCTCCCAGGTTTTAAACAGCTTTCAGACCAATGAATATATATATATATATATATATATATATTCATTGGTCTTTTGGTGTGCATATATATGCTGATAAATTTAGTTTGCGTGTTCGTTATCATGGATATAGGATCTAGTCAGTGAAAATGTCACTATCTAGAAAAGTCCTCGGAAAAATCTGATGTCTCTTCATTTTTAAGCAGCCAGTCAGTAAATACATTTGTCAACATGATCATTCAGCAGTGTAACATGTTTTCACTTCTCTGTGTTAAAAGTGTAGAGTTTAAAGTTTCCTGTGAAAAACTGACAATCATTGTTCATCTTGAACAAATAATTCTGAATTGAACAATTTAGGTGAAAGGATAATATTCCAGGCATGTTAGTGGTATCTTTTTTGTAAGATAATATGAATTATGCATCTAAATTGTCAAGTATTTTGGTGAAATGAACAGAAATCGCCTATTGAATCGGAATGTTAAACTCACAACTGATTGTAAAACCGAAAACATATATCCATGTAAAAGCGTATGAACAGACCAGAAGTTGAACATCAACAATTTTGACGCTTCGGTCGTAAGTTGATTTTAGTAGTTGGAATACGAAAATCTACTCTAAAAGTGAAACTTATTCTGAACAGCTATCCTCATTACAGTCCAACTAAATGACTTGAAACAGGGTTAAAGAAAAGTGATTCTCAGAGTAAACAATCCTTAACCGTTCGTGGTATTGAGATTACTTTAATCAGAAGATTTTTCAATTTTTCAATAACTTTGTCTTCTGTTTTGATCGATGAAACCTATTTTAACAAAAAAATCTTGTTTCAAATGGGAGCAAAACTTATTAATCGATGAAATCGTTGACTATGCAATTCCTTTTCTTTCCACGAGATCATCATACAAGTGAGGTTTATTAAAACAAAACAAGAGAATAACGTTGCCATTTCTTACTTGTTCTCCAGCATTTCGATGTGCATCAGCAAGTTCAATGTACAGTGAAAGTTTGTCAGTTTGTGTTAAGTCACTTTGAAAATAACCAAAGTTATCTGATTTTACAGACTGTGAACGGTTTTGTGGATTTGAAAGATTGGCAATAGCTTGTTTCAATATTTGTATAGCTATTTTAGCTGAGCCTTGTTTACTCATCAGACGAGCTCGGACCAGCTGATATACTGGATGGTTACGTACCTCAAAGTTATTAGCCACACCTGTTTCTAAAATCTGTTCAGCAGCTTTCAAATTTGACATATAAAGATAAATCTAAAAGAGGAAAAACAAAGTGACGAATTCACATGGCAGTTGGGCAAAAGCCTTAATGATTGGATCAAAAAAATCTGGTCAGCAGTCGGGCCTCATAGCTAAATTGGTAGGGCACCTGGCCGGAAACCCAGTGATTGCTAGTTTCATCTTCAGTCATCACCCAGTAAAAAAGTATCTGTTGCGTAAATGGATTACTTGTTATTTGTGATATTTCAGTGACTAATACACAGCTGTATGTTGATGTAAATTGTATCCATAATGTGCTCTATGAATCATTGAGTTTCCCTCATTTAAACATCTACAAATAAATATTGTTAGCTGAAAAAAGTGTGACTTCATATTTTATATACTTATGTCGTGTTTCATACCGTGAAAATGAAGCTTATTGACTTAACAATGTGAATTTTATGTAGTGAGTCCCAGGTTAAGTTTCTACCCTACATACTTTGATCTGAGAAACCGGATGAAAAGATCAATCCTCATGCCAAAATATGACTCTGAAAATTCAGTAGCATTAAGACCGTATATCAAACTACAATGAAACAAGTTACTCAGAATTCCGTAATAATTTCAGTAACTTGATATAAAATGTACATCACCTGTCGTGAATATGTTGGCCAAAGTATATAGTTTCACACCACGCTGTGTGTATTAAGAGCAGATGCAGGATGCATTAAACTGCCGATAAGATTATTGGTAATGCATGTATTCTTAAGAAGTGTTATTTCTTTTTACTTGTTATCAATAAAAATGCACAGTCTATTGCATTCTGCAAAGTAATTTTGCACTTAATTATTTCAAATAAGTCAGAACACCTCGAAGGAGGCCAGGTTTTCCTGACTAAACAGTATTTCTGAATTTGTATGCATATTTGTGTGTGTTTGGATTCGTAACTCATAGCCAACCAAAATAAAAGTATGTTAAGTAATATCATGCAACTGTAAATATCATCCTTGTATCCCACTAGATAGTTCAAGTATCAGTGTATTCATAAATTCCTTTTTATGTTCAGTGTTCAAATTATTTTATTACAATACAAAATTTCCCATTTTTCTCTTATTATAATAATCTATTACACTGATAAATCCACCTTGATTATGAATGCTAAACAATGCAACTGCATTTGTGATTATTGTATCCGAGGTAGCTATCTTAGATTCCCGTTCTCTCCTAGATACAACTCTTGGAATAAATAGTTTAGGTAAAATTATTCAGGGGATTTCCTCAGATAATTACAAGAAATAAATTTGAGTCAGCTGTATGTATTTCAATAAAAAATCCCTAAAATTAAATAGGCTACATATTCACTATATTAAAAAAATTAGAAACCATACTTCAAATTTTATTATATTTTATTATTGTGTATCTGTCCTTACACTCGGCTTGGTTGGCCCCGCCCGTCACGACTTCTCAACAGAACTTCGAGAACCACCTCTCGAAGCGAGTCTTCAATGAGCACTAGAATTATTCAGTCCAGTGCTCCCAAGTTTTCAATGTTTCACTAACTGATGTCAGTCCATGATTAATACTAACCTAAAATCGACAAATCAATCCCCAGAAACCTCAGTCAGAATTGAAAATTATTTCAGCTTTGTGTCACCTAACTTTATCATTTTCATGTTGTTTAACAGATTCAGTTATGCAGATGTTTCATAATATTATACATTATTACGTACATCAGGTTTTGTGTTACTTTGATAGTCTTTCTTATAATTATTCACTTATTCCCTCATAAAGGAAACAGTTGAGTCGATCATCTTCTCTAGTATTTGAATAGTTTAGTTAAAAGACGAGGTCTATCTGAACAGTTTGACGTATGTGCGCAATACATTTTGAACAGTCTGATCAGGCATGTACTTATCAAGTCAGTTTAAGTGAAAACGAAAAAAGGGAAGACAAATGAAACAGTTAAGATAATAGGGAATTAAAACTAAGGATGATAAAGAGAAAAAATGATAATATTCGATCCTAATTATGATAAGGAAACAAAGTTTACCAATGAGGGTGTTTTCTTACCACGATTGGGATCAAATATTATTATTTTGTCTTTGTATCATTCTTAGTTTTAATTTCCTACTTACTTAATTGTTCTATTTGTCCTCCCATTCTTCGTTTTTATATACACTGACTTGACGAGTAACTGTGTAAACAGACTGTTCGAAATGTGTTCCCCACGTACAGATAAACGTTCAGATAAACTTTGTCTTTTCATTAAACTATCAAAATTTGCAGAAGGGATTGACTATTTCAAATTTGTCCCGTGTGACAAAGAAAATGGTGGAGGTTTTGAAGTCTGTTTACCGCTACGCGTCAATATTGGTTAGAAAATCATTGGAAGCAAAAAGCATACACGACCACATTTTTTGTGCTGTCAACATTTTTATATATACATAGCTTCATGAAAAGGTTCTTGATGTCAAAATAGCCACTTTCTCACTGAAAGTTCAGAAATATTTCGAGTGATTCAAATCCCCAAAAGCCTTCTAAATAAGCATTTACAGCATTTTCAAGTTTAGAAAAAATAATTCAGCGAAACAGAAATTAGACGATGACTGAAGGCGAAATGTAATAGAAGGATATAGACCAATCACCTACAGACCAATGCTGACACTTTTCAGGTTCCAACTTCACCTCCAACTATTACCAAATACTAATAAAACATTAATCTGCTAACTTACAACAATTTAATATTGCCTCGTTAGTAAACCTATTTCTATAAAAACAGCGTTAAGAGAAAATTTGGGATCATACCACATAAATACACAACCAATGAATGGTAAATAAATACCATTATTCGTCTTTTTTTCTGTGTAAAACAAGTGGAAAACTAGGGATGAGGATACTTCAGACAACCGTGGAATTGTAAAAAACTGAGTTACTCAACTGGATGACGTAAATTTCCGTTTAAGAGAACTTTGTTTCTCTACTCTTTGAAACTACATTGTAGATTGATGCATGTGGTCCTACGCTGTAATGTAGAGTAGGTTGAAAAAAATGCTAAACAGGAAATTAATATAAGACTTTTGAAGACGATTAGTTTGATGTCTTGCATCTAAGTTTCATAATTTTTAATGTTTCTTACTATCAATGACCACAAAACATGATATTGGTCGATTTATAGTGATTTGATTGCTTCAGTGGCAACATCTGTTTTTAACTACTATGGCCTGGATTTGGATTCGTGGAAGGGGCATCAGCCACTTGAGTACTAACAAGGACTAAATATAAGTGAAATAAGATTTCTTGTCAACCACCTCCAACCACCTAAAATCAAGCAAACTGTACTGCAATGTCAAGTGGCCAAGCCAGATGGTCACGTTGTGAACTTGATTGATAGGACTCAGTCACTATTTAGAACCAGGAAAAATGACGTAGATTAGTGTCGAGTGGGCAGTCAATGTTAAAACGATATTGCTGATTTAATTGTAGGGATTATTGCCACAATTCATAGTCCTTATGTACATAGTAGTCGAAAGTTATTATTATTCTGATGAAAATGAGAAATAGCTGTAAACGTTATCCGTACACAAGACCGAACATTCATGGATGGATTACAGCAAACTATAAGAACATAGGAAAACCTATGTTTATAAAGGTAATATGTGGAGCATCCACAATACACATTTCTGAAGGAAAAACAAGTAACAAACTTATATATTGTTTGCTTAAATTCGAAACTTGGAGACAATCCGCAGGAAGCCCTCGACCTAGGTTTCGTGCTTTTTGGCACTCGTCAGCAAAGCGTATCTGCAACCTAGACGGGAGTGATGTCCCATGTGAGATTCGAACTCACATCACCTAGCGTTTCGGTTAGCGACATTAACACTGAGTGATTCTGGCTGCGATTGACCCTCTATGGAAGAGTAATCAAATTTTTAAGTGGAAAGTAATTGGCAGGATTCAAAATAGCTCACAAAAATGTCCGATTTGATAATCGAAGCTGTAGGCCGAATGCTTACATCCTCTGGAAAAACCTCAATAAGTTTATTGAACAAGCATTAACATATGTTTATTGTTCTTATCACTCTTCACAAATTTTTAAGTCTCCATTCAATTAAAGCCATAGGCTATGTGGTGTGTGGGGCACTGAGTATTATATGAAATACACCGTAAGTTATTGACTGTTGAATCATTGAACATAAGATATTCAACGTGTTGATTATCAGTTAGTTTCACTAATCCCTTTGATACAATCTAGAACTCCTACATTTTGTCAATTATTGATGTGAAGCGTTCAATTATTGGTATTTTTCTGTAGTATAGAATAAACTCCAGTATGAATTGGAATAAGTGCATTATTTTTGGTTGTTTGCCTATTCACGAACCTGAATTTAATATCGCATTGGTCCCGTATCAGTTACAGCCATCAGAAAAAGTTCAGTGCAAGATATATATATATATATATATATATATATATATATGGTTACGTGTGTTTGTTCGCATTTGCACTTGTATATTGATGAAAGAATGCCTGATAAATATTAACTTGGGAACAGGACATGAACAGTAGCGAAAGGTAGTATTTAAAAACGAAAACGTAATTCTGTTAGTTGACAGTACACAATTTCATTTTCTTTATTAAATATCGTTCTCTGTCTATTCTATTTCTAGATATAAACTGCCACATTATTGTCTCTATCTTTCTCCCTTATCGTTTACGACGCTTTCTCTCTTTCTTTCTTTCGCTTTTACATATACTTACACACACACATACACATATACACGATATCTAGCTTTTAATACATGAAGTATGCAATATTTGTACATTGTGCAGTAGGGATCATAGACTTGCACTCATAAATATAAAACCTAACAGGAACTTATCAAGCTTTGAACTATTTTTTCATAACTGTACGACTAGAAGATTCAATTATATATATATATATATATATATATATATATATATATATATATCTGTAGTATTTGTATACAGTAAAAGGATACTTATTTTAGTTATCCAAAAAAAGAAGAGAAGGAGATCTTTAACCGGGAAGATAAAG